GCTTCCAAGGTTTTGCTCCAGGGACACCTGGAGCAGATTTTCTCACCCCAGAGGACGTGGTGGCGGGACCACTGCGCGTCTGGGTGGTCCCGCCACCCGCGAGTTCCGGGGCGAGAAAAGCCCCGTTCGTAAGTGCGGATCCGACATAAGTCGGATCCGCGTAACTCGGGGACTGCCTGTATCTGTATAATGTCTGTGTGTGGAGTTATGAATATGTACTCTGTACAGAGACTGGAAGGTTCTCTGTACGTGGTTGAGTAATGAGCCAGGAATGTTTGCCTATGGACATGCTAATGAGCAAGTCTCCAGGGAACAATGTACCTCTGGAAGCCAAAAACACACCTGGCCATGTGACTCTAGCCAGCTTGGAAGGAGGTCTAAATATGCCACGTGGCCAACTCCATAGTGGTCTTCAGATTTGCTCTTGACCCCAGATACCGCCTCGCAGGGATTCACGAGCCAGGAAGAACTGTGGACCCATCCTGGCATAGGATGTGCACCAAGGACTTTTAAGCCAGCAGCTATAACATCTCTGCTGCAAGCCTGCATCGAGAACTGGGAGATTCGATGCATGTGATGTATGATACTTCAAAAACCTTTCTCATGCTTTTCTTTCTTGTAGTAATAAACCTTTAGATGTTAGATTCTAAAGGATTGGTTCAGTGTGATTTGTGGGTAAGATCCAGAGTGTGGGATCTGTGGCTGGTTTCTTGGAACCGGACAGAACTTGTTCGGGGTAGGTGACATTGGATTCTAAGACCCCTCACCGGTGTATGAGGCCCAGGGCCATCTGGGACACGGATATTGCTGGAGTGTCAGAGGGGTTTTGCTCGTGAGGCTTCAGGCAGGCAGCTGAAGCACTCTATGGGACTGGTTTGTGGCCTATTTGGGAAGGTCTCCAGTCTGGGGGCTAGAGAGAGCCCCGAATTTGAGCAATTCGCCCTGAGTGGACGCCTTCGCTGTGCCCAGACCTGGCCTGGTCTGTCATGTAAGGCCAGGAGAGAAGGACGACACAGAAAGAGGGATGGACAGATGGATGCCGAGCCCTGGCTTACTCCCCTGGACAGGGAACTCAAGGAGCTCTGGGCTCATATTCCTGGCTCTGTGCCAGCGTCTCACATGACTTGTCCAAAACCCACGGCTCGGTTCCCTAGCTGGAAAGCAGGGCTCTCCCCCTCCTCTGACCCGTCTGTTCAGACTGGGAGCTCCCTGGAGCTGGGACAGCACCTGACTCCACTTTGGCTCTCTAGTCTCAGCATCCCTCGAATGCAAATAATAAAAGGACAGATGGAGAACTACAAAAGCCAGCCGAGTCATGGCAACAGGGTCAGATACAACCCAAGAGGGCGGGCCAGGGCAGGCCAGGCCAGGCCCCACCTAGCCCAGACAGGAGGAAGATGTGATAAGGGTGGAACGTGTCCTGAAGAAGCCAGGGAATTCCCAGCAAGGGTAGCTCCCCTGGGATTCCAGGGCACCAAGCTCTTCCTGCTCCCCTCCAACCTGTCCAGCCACTTCTAGCATTCCCTCCTGCAACCAGGTGTGTTCGGCTCCCGGCCCCGCCTCCTCCTCAATACTCCCTCCTAAGTTAGCCTCGTCCTGGCTCCAGCTAGGGGCATAAAATCCCATTTAATTGGTTAAATGTAGGGGTGTTTAACTGGTTAACTGAAAAAGGGGGACAGGCAGGGAGCTACTCCAGCCCCCACTGGTTCACTGGAACTGGTAAGCCTCACATAGTAAGGGCGGGTGATGCTTCCCAGTTAACCAGTCACATCCCTAGCTCCAACCATGTCTCTTCTCCCCAGCCTGGGGTCCGTCTTTCCAACATCCTGGATGCACCCTGGTGAACACGCTGACCATGGAGCAATTTAGCTCCTGGCAGTCACCCTGCCCTAAAGCATTTCTTTGTCAGCATGACAAGCCCGCTGTCCTCCCTCTGGCTCAGGCTCAGATGTCCCATGACAGTCAACTCTTCTTTTTCCTTCTGAACACCCCGGCCACTACCAAGAGCCACTGCAGCACAGAAACCAAGGGTTCTCTGGAGACATGCCACATTTGCTCATGGCGGGACGGGGGCTATGGTAAGAAAGAGAAGAGAGATCTTACCTAGTGAGCCTTGTGCAGCAAGTGTGAGAAGAGCTCGCACATCAAGAACACCAAGATACAGGGACAGCAGAGTGGCATCTTCCACCCCTGCCGCTATCAGACATCTTTGACGTCAAGTTTAAGATCCCCCATTGCAAGAATCCAGTAAGCAATGTCCTCAGTTTAGGAACTGCCCGGGTGGTGCAAATCTGTTCTCTGAAGTTTAGCAACTTAGTTGACCATAGAACTGTTGCTCTGGCTGGAGCCCAACACAGCACAGAGAAGTCACACAAGCTTTCCCCCATATAGCCTTAGAACCACAGAATACTAGGACTGGAAGGGACCTCGAGAGGTCATTGAGTCCAGTCCCCTGCCCTCATGGCAGGACCCAGTACTGTCTAGACCATCCCTGATAGACATTTATCTAACCTACTCTTAAATATCTCCAGAGATGGGGATTCCACAACCTCCCCTGGCAATTTATTCCAGTGTTTGACCAACCTGACAGGTAGGAACTTTTTCCTAATGTCCAACCTAAACCTCCCTTGCTGCAGTTTAAGCCCATTGCTTCTTGTTCTATCCTCAGAGGCCAAGATGAACAAGTTTTCTCCCTCCTCCTCATGACACCCTTTTAGATACCTGAAAACGGCTATCATGGCCCCCCTCAGTCTTCTCTTTTCTAAACTGAACAAACCCAATTCTTTCAGCCTTCCTTCATAGATCAACCTTTCGTGACTGCCGGGCACCCAGGGCCCGGCACCGCGGGGCCAGCCAAGATGTTTCGGCGGGCGCACATAAATGCATGCGGGCACCGCATTGGGGACCAATGCTTAGACCTTTAATCGTTCTTGTTGCTCTTTGGATCTTCTCCAGTTTCTCCACATCTTTCTTGAAATGCAGTGCTCAGAACTGGACACAATACTCCAACTGAGGCCTAACCAGCGCAGAGTAGAGCAGAAGAATGACTTCTCGTGTCTTGCTCACAACACACCTGTTAATGCATCCTAGAATCATGTTTGCTTTTTTGAA